TTAATGACAGAACGATTAGGGAAAACCACCCAGTTCACAATGTCAAAGTCAGCAGCCAGGTGTCCGTTCTCATCCAAGTACACTCCATCCATAGAAAAATTGTAAAACCAGGGTATTCCCAGGAAAGCATGAATCTAGAAAGGCAGGGAAGACACTGGCACTGAGAAAAGGAGGGAAGTTCCATAGGACACTACTTGCAAATATTACATTAAAGCACCCAGAATCTGGCCAGTGTAGGAGCAGCATTCTTTTTGCCACCAGGTACACAAAGCAAGCATTTCAAAGGTAGTGCTGATACCTTCACCCATGTGTCCCTGATGACTGCTTCAGGTCTTCAATAGCAAAATGGTGCTTGTGTCCATAGAGGACCTCAACTGACATGGGCTGGATGACAAGTTTGAAGTGATTAAACATATGGGTTTTTTAAGGAAGAGAAGAGACGAACTTTATTTTACAGTCCATTTTAAACAAAGAAGAATCTCTGCACACTTGAATATTTGGGAGGAACCAGAATGTTCTGTCTAGAGCCACAAAGTGAATGTTTAAAAGATTCTGTGCATACCACAGCTGTGACATTGGTATGAAACCAAGTACAGGAAAGAGAGCCAGTGTTCAAAGGGCACATCAATTATTGCTTCCATGTAGCCTGCAGTGCACGTGCAGGTGTAATCTGGGAAGCTAACCAGGGTCTCCCATCTGGATGGGAAACTTCAATTCTGTGTTCAGCAGGCAGCTGGACCTGATGGCCCCTGAGGCTCCTTCCAGCTCTATGACTCTACAGTTTCTAGGAAGACCTCTGGCTTAGCTTTCAGATCCTTTGCTTTGTGGAGCATAGAACAATGCCACGGAACCTTCTCTCTCACCTTAAACTGGCAGGCTTCCTTAAACCACTTAATTGTACAATTGATGTCTGTTACAGGAAAGGGAATACCTGCCATGGCTGCAGCCGTTGGACATCAACCACCATTCTCCTGGATCTGGATGAATAAGCAGCATCCAAGACATGGGCTACAGCCAGGATGGAGCTATAAATGATGGAGCTGTCCAAAGAAAGCATGCTCTCAGTGTCTTTCTGACTCAAAGCTCTGCTTTTCTCATTCTCTTTGCATCTTGTCCAGCCTTTTGCAGAGACTGCATGCTTTGAATACTGGCAATTGAATGCTTTCTCCCCATATTCCTTCATAGCATAGAAAAACTGTAGAAAATCATCATGATTTGTCCATTTTTTCATTTGGATGAAGAAGGAAACAATACCATGGATGTGTTGGAATGACAGAGTATTATACATCAACTCCAAGGTGAGGTCCCACAAAGCTGTCGTGATCCAGACCTTCCCTACAATAGGTTTTATCAGTAATTCAACTAGTTGTTGCATGATTAATATTCCATCTAAGAAGAAACTAGTTTCCGCATAGTAGACAAAGACATTGACTTGTCTCCACTTGACAATGGGTGCTTTTTCCATATTTACTGAGTTTGTATTCATTCCTGAGACACTGTATGACAGAACAACACAGACACCATTCATGGTCAGCATTGGGGTCAACAGCTTTATGAACCTCTCTCCATCGTTGGTGGCTGGAGCAACTAGGCCAACTGTTGTCCACCTGAAATGCAGCAGCAGTTGAATGATTGCAAAATATTGGGTTCCTTCTTTGGGGACCATCCGGTAGAAGAAGGGGAACTGAGTTTGATCACTCAGAGCATGAGAAGCAAATGAATAAGTGACCTGGAAAGGAAGCAAGAGATGGAAGATTTGGTTCATTGTGGATCCAAGTCTAGTGTTGAGGGGGCAAGAGCCATGTTTGGAATTCCCTTTCATGGGGACCCACTACAAGAGTTGTTTTTTTTTTTGGTGGGGGGAGGGATATTATTTGTGTATAGGGCAGTCCATTCCTTGGGTTGTTGTGCTATGGGGCTCTGGCTTGCTCAATGATGTCATGTGGGGTGTGAGGACATTGCGAAGGGTCTCATAATATGGAGAAGATGCTTCTGCAGGGCTGTGAAGTGATCATACAGTTTTTCACTCTTGCATACTTTGGCGGAACAGTGACTTTTTTTAGGATAAGGCTGTCATTTGTGCAAATTTCACAATCTCACCCACCACTTGCAAAATCCCCAGGCTGTTTATCGTGGCTTGATGGGTCACCCATCATGTCAAGAGCTGCAGCAGTAAACCAAATGATTTTGAAGGGTTTAATTCAGAAAAAGCTCCTGAGGTTTTGCCCTCCAAAAGGCTTCTCTTCCATTGCAAAATGATCAGAAACTTGTTCCTAGTTGCAGTCACAGCAGGCTTCACTGGATGCAAAGAAGGCCTTCTGTGATAGTAAGAACTGAGCCAGCATTTCTCAGAAGACACTTTTCTCAAAAACATGTACAGGACTGTATTTTCTTCTTGTGCTAGAAGCAGGATGCTATATGGCAGCCCTTTCTTACACTTTTTCAAAAGATCCCCTACACACACACACACACACGGCCGACATTAGCTACTGTGCAGAATGCGCAATGGGGCTTTGGAGCTCTGCAGCTGAACCCCAAAGACACTGGGAATTCTTTTCGCTTTCCCTGGGAAGAAGCCCAACAGGATTTCTGCCCCACCCCACACCTGTGGGATTTTGTATATGCTCAGCACGGTTGAAATCTGCACAGAGCTCTCGGAGTCAGCCCCTTCGAGGACAGCCAGCATAGCATTCCTTTGTCCACAGCCATAGTTGGGAACATTGGCCTGGCCAGGAGAGAGCAGGTCCAGCAAGGCTTCGGAAGCCAGCAATGCATCAAAGTAATTGTCATGGACACTGTAGCCCAGCGTGAGGTTGGGGAGGAGCTGCGGGTTCTGGTTGATCTTCCGAATGGCAAACAGGAAGGACAGCATGTTCCAATACCTTGTGGTTCCTTCCCTGAAAAGAAATAGATGTTGCATTATCACCCCACCATCAATTAAACCAATCATTGCTACTTCCTGCATTTTTTTCTGCAATATAGCTCCTCCCCACAGTCCTAAGAGCTCTTTCCTCATTTCTGTCCCTCCAGAAATAAAACCAGGAGTACAAGTTCCCGCTCTGACCCAAAAGCATTCTTCTGTGGGGGCATTCATAGAGGTAG